TGCTTGATTTTCAGACAGGATCCACTGTGTAATGGTGGTGGCTGCTCCGGAACTAACTATATAGCCCGGGTTGGCCCCAGACTCATATCGCCGTCTCTGGCTCCCAGGTGCTGAGTAAAGAACTTAGAAGGTTGGTCTGGCTCCCAGGTGCTGAGTAAAGAACTTAGAAGGTTGGTCAGTAGAGATAGCTCAGCAGTTAAGAGCTATTGCTGCTCTTCTGAAAGGACCCAGGTTCGATTCCCAGTGCCCACGTTGGACAGCTCACAGCTGCTTATAACTCCAACTCTAGAGGATCTGAAATCCTCTTCTGTCCTTTACAGGCACACACACACATGGCATACACTCACATATATGCACATAAATAAAACAATCCTCTTCTGTCCTTTACAGGCACACACGCACGGCATACACTCACATATATGCACATAAATAAAACAATCAAGAAGGAGTATTCTTTCAAAAGGTGACAAGACTACTAGAGATGTCTTCCAACTACAAACAGCATCAGGAAGTGTTGTCATCTACCAAATGATTGTGGTATCGAAAAGCACAAGAGATGGCCAACATGAGAGACTATAGAACCGTCTATAATTCCAGCCCTTGGGAGGTAGAAGCAGGAGGACCAAATGTTCAAGGCAGCCTCAGATACATAGTGAGTTTAAGGCTAGTCTGGGCTACAAGAGATCTTCTCTCACCATTCCTCAAAGTAGCTACTGAAATCTGGATTAATAAAAACAAAATCCAAAATTCATTCTTCATCACTCTAAGCACTTTTTAGTATCCTTCGTAGCCGGCAGCCTTGTACTGTATAATATAGAATAGACTATTTCCATCCCAGACTTCCTCGGGACAGCAGTTAAACCAAGCATCCAGCTATATATATCTAGCTGTGACTCAATACTTGATTTTAGCCAAAAGGACGAACAACAATTAGATGTGACTCAATTGACAGGCTACATAAAAAATTGGCCCCAGGGATGGGGAGAAAAGTGTATCAGATACATAGATAGATAAATATGTATGTATTTGAAGACCAGCGTATGCCCCTGCAATTTCCAATTAATCTGTGTAACAAATGTTTACTGAACATTTGCTGCGTGTCCAATACTACACAGTATGAAGCCAAAACAGACATGCACAACACAGTGCCGGCTTGTAGTGTGGAGAGAGCGACCTGCCGTAGCCGGAAGACCAGATGACGACAACCACACAGGAGCAGGCATCTTGACCAGCTGCATAGTTCCCATGGTGTAGGTCTGTACACACACTCACCCCACGTGAACAGTCACACACTCAAAACCAAAGCCCAACCAAACCTCACACCCACCCTTCACGAAGTCAGTTGCAAGCAGTAATTAGCAAAGATCATATCACATATTCATTATTCTAAATGTGGATTTCTGCTAGCTGGTCGTCGTATGTAAGCGCTTCATCAAAAGCTGGGGGAGAGGGGCTAGCGGTGTTGCTCAGTGGTTGGGCATGCTGAGTTTAGTTACACAGAAAAGCTGCCTGGGGTACCGGGGTAAAATTGAACTCTGTTCTAATTGTCAAGACATGGTGTACACTCGGCTCTGCACCACTGAAATGCCTTCCTATTCCTACGCTGCATCCACTCAACACCGCTCACACTCTACATAAATGATTTAAGTGCTCTGTCCTAGTTGGTTAATTTGTGATTATTACCTGGAATAATTAAATACTTGCTGTGTACCAGCCACTGTGCCAGGCTTTTTATACAAAACAGCTCTGATTTTCATGGCAATCTCGCAAGATGGGAAATATTAGCCTCAATCTACAGAAATGGAAACAGAATCAGAGTGTTTAAAATGCTGGCCCAAGGTTATTAAGTGATGAAGCTAAGATCACCCAACTCTCCTGCTCAAGTTCTATTTCCTGTATCAAAAAGTTCAATTCGTGGGGCTGGAGAGATGGCTCAGAGGTTAAGAGCATTGCCTGCTCTTCCAAAGGTCCTGAGTTCAATTCCCAGCAACCACATGGTGGTTCACAACCATCTATAATGGGGTCTGGTGCCCTCTTCTGGCCTTCAGGCATACACACAGACAGAGTATTGTATACATAATAAATAAATAAATAAATAAATAAATAAATAAATAAATAGTTCAATTCGTGGGCTGGGGATGCAGCTCAAGTGGTTCAGCACTTAGCCTCAAATGCTTAACACCTAAATTTAATCCCAGCCCCCCCCCAAGAATCTGGGCCTGGTGGTAAACGGCTGTAATCCTAGCACTTGGGAGGTAGAGACAAAGGGGAGCAGAAGAAATTCAAGGTCATCCTTTGCTGCTTTTGAAACCAGTCTGGGATTTAAAAAAAAAAAAAAAAAAGAAAAGAAAAGTGCAGAATTGCCCTGTAGGAGAGCTCCCGGAAGGGAAAGACCAGCCCTAAATGTGGGCAGCACCGTCCAATGGTCTGGTGTCCTGGACGGAATAAAGCAGGAGAGAACGTCAGCCACCACGTGTGATCTAGGCTCCTCCGTTGTCATCTGTGACCCCAGTTTCTCCAGCCTTTCAATTGGACTCATAAGAGAACCCCCAGGAACTTTGGGGTTCTCAGTATCTGACTGGGCTGGATTATCAGTCTCCTTGCTTTAGGGTCCCAGCTTTTTATTAAAATTACTCCATTTGTTTATGTGATAAATTATTACATTGTACTTATTTTGTGCACACATGTGTGAGAGAG